TAGATAAGACATTAAGATGAGGTTCCTTGTGATTATTCAGATGGAAGTTAAAGTTTCCATGCCACTATTCCAAATGAGAAAATGATAATCTGCCAAATATGGTCACTTTTTAGATAAAAATAGATGCGAATGCGTATGGCTCTTTGTGAATTATTTCCTGAGTATACAATATCTGATCTATTTGTCTAAACAATCATTACAGTACATAATGTAATGTTTTGCAAAGTAATATGAGAGAACCTTGAGTGTGAAATGGGTTATATACCATGTTAAAAGAAACCCCCCCACCACTGGTTTAATCCTGGCAGGTATATTATCTTCAGCATTGAGACTTGCAGAACATACATACGCTTTCCTGTTCTCCTGGTACAAAAATCCTTTTATGAAGCAAAAAAAGAGGGGGAAAGTCAAAGATGAACTCTAAAAAAAGAGGACAACAGAAACCCAGCTACAAATTAAGATAGTTCACAATTTTAAAAAAGTAATTAGTTACAAAACTAGATAATTTTAAAATCAGCCATTTCAGAGTGACCAAGACACTGAAATTTGCCCTGAGAAGTATTTGCTTATAGTTAATATTGTAAACCACTTGTTTAGAGTGAATACTTTTGGAATATTACAAATAAGATCATCTGACTCTTTCTTCCACAAAAGACACAAGCCAGGCCCTTGTGCACACTCTGCTATATTGTGCTGCAGAGAACTGAACATACTGGCCAGAGGATCAGCCAATTACAAGGCTTAAAAGCATATTTCCATAATGATGATTGGCTGCTGGACTGCAGGCTCACTTAAGCCTTTAAAGGAAGGAAAAAGAGGAGCTCTGCTGAGAAAATAGAGAAAACAACTTTCTACCTTTCTGTTGCTTGTTAAATATTCTCTGATTGCGCTGATTCATCTTCTTAAAAAGCTGTTTTGGAAAAAAAAATGAGGATGCACTTGTTCACAACAATACTGGCTTGAAACAGTTGAAGGCTTTAACATAATAGTCCTCCATTCTTTTTGCTAAAAATAGATTTTTGTTGGGATTTGTTTCTTTCCACATATGATGCACATCCCTAACTGTATATATAAATAGTGAGGCTTTTTGCCTCAATATGCCTAGCAGTCTTCAGTTGCATTTATTAGAAAGAATCTTTCCTATTTTAGAAAAAAACCTCACCCATTTATTGGCCTTTTGTCTGTCTTGTAAAATACAAAGTTATAATTTAATTTGGAGAGTGGGCAGAAATAAGTGAAGCTGGAAAAGCTTCTAAATACTAAATCAGACAGGGCTTTTAGAAATCAGGACATCGGCCCCTCACAAGTTGATTTAAGCAGTCTTTCTGCAACCAGTCATGACGCATGAATGCTGAATGTGCAGTAGTAATCCCAAATGCCTTCACATGGGTATGGTATAATTGTTCCTTTTAAAAAATAAAGCCTGCTTAATAGTCATGCATTAAGTCACACTAGTTTCCCAAAACCTGTATCTATTGTTTTTCTCTGAGTTACTGGGCTTGTGTGATGGTATTTTACCTACAGGATGGCAGTTTCACAAGCATTTGTTCAATAGACCATCCTTTTGAAAAAACAGAATGAGTGTATCATGCAGATAAAGGAGAAGCATTTTTGCAATCTCTCCCAGTGACCATTCCTTGGCTGGCTAACAGACCAGCCATTCAGAAGCAATTTTCTTCAGGCTGAAATTATGTGCTGACCGTGGCACATCACTTCCCATAATAACCCTCCCCCCCACCCAATGCTAACTGTCTCCTACTCACTGTAATAATAACGTGCAAATGACTGTAATTTTGCAGACAAGAAACAGCCCCAAGTGAAACGTGTCTAAACAGAGGTCGATTTGTGGGGGGGGAATCAGACCTATTACCTAAATCTGAAAAATATATATCGTTAAAAAAAAAAAAAGCAAAAGCAACAGTGATCTGTGTTAAGTAGTGTAAAAAAAGAAGTAATTTATTTGCTGATCTGAAAATCCTCCCTAGCACAATTGCAATATAAGTGTGTGTTGGAAGGGGTGTTTGTGGAGGGGAAAGTTTTCTTTGACACTTGCAGATTTTCACAACTCTTTGATGGCATTCACACCACACATCCCAACAACTGAGGCAGCCCAGTGTTCTTAACAGTACTTCCAGCCTCCTGTCTTGGAAGTAGGCACTTTGCAAATACTTACGCTAGCAAAGAGCTATGAGATGGCCTGGATGGGGAGGATGACTAAGGAAACTCCAGGCAGCAGACCCTGTCTGCATCACAACTCAAGTGCTAAGCAAAAGATTCTCCCAGAAGGGTGTTTGTACCTGAAAGCTTGCAAAGAACAAATTTTCCAACTATTTAGTTGGTCTAATAAAAGATATTACATTTACTCAAAGAACCTGGTCCGCCTGCTTCCTTAGACCAACACGGATGCAATCAACACCTCTTCTCCCAGAACCATTCAGGACAGATTTGTTAACACAGTTGTTAATTCTTTTGTAAGGGGTAGATTTTAAAACAATAGCTCTTTTGCCCCCTCCCCAGTGATAAAACCGTGGGAGACTGAGGGCCTTGTGAGCAATTCCCCAACAAACTACTCCCATTGTTAAGAGCTTGGAAGTGGAGAGGCATGGAAGAGGAGCAACGATTTTGATTGCTGCCATGACAGAGTAGGGGGGTGATGGGTGCTGTTCCCTTTCAGCAAATCCCAGTTTAGATGGGCAGATGGGGAAATCCGTTCTCGAGGGTTACAGTCATTAAAATAATAGTTGTCACAAAATTTAAGCAAGTCCTAATTTATATGGGCCCTTAGCTATAATATGTGGCATACCCAGTCCACTGCAATTTTTTTCTAGCCAGAGGGGAAGGTGCCTTCTGTCCAGCAAACGGTGGAAACAGCTGTGTTCAGGTGTAAGAGGCTGGGGCCTCAGTAAGACTACATCACTGGCAATCTTTATTCAGATAGAGGGGTCACTGGTAACTTCCAAACTGCTTATGTACAGCTTCTCCACTGACACCTGTTTGATGCAAAGTGTCTAGCATGTGAGATGGGCACCAGCATGCCTATCTCACTCAGTTGGCCAGTATCCAAAGGTGTGGCTTGTCACAATGTCCTTTGCAGGTAGTAAATCAGGAATGTGAGTTCTACCTGGAAAGCGTGATTTATAGACTGTTTTCCATGATTTGTTCAAGGAGAGAAAAAAAAAAACCTTCTTGGTGTTCAGAGTGTGCGCACACACACACACGCGCACACACACACACACACACACACACACATGCGTTGAATAGAAATGTTAACCAGAAAATGCATACATTGAAATTCCACAGTGGCTCAGAACGTAAAACATTGAAATTCCACAGTGGATCAGAACGTAAAACCGCATATCTAGTGATTGCCATACTAGACTTTATGATATGCGACTGCAGAGATGCAGTATCTGAATTCTCAATCTTTTGTCCTATCATGCATTGATTTCTCACAAAGATGCTCATGTATGTTTGTTGGTGGCTGCATGTTTGATATGTAACTTCATTATGTTCCCACCCCTACCCTCACCTATGTAGCCCCTTGCTCGGGTCCTCCATTTTTCCTTGTGCCTTGAACTTTGTAACTTGAACTTTTAACATTTTCTAATAAAGTAAAATTGTTCTGGGCAAAGGGGGTGGAGGAGGGGCTGCCCCGGCAAGCTGACCAATTTAAGTAAGCCAAGAACTGTGCCTTAAGTTTTTAGGGGGTGTTGGTTGTAGCCATGTTGGGCTAAGCTCATAGGCAGACAAAGTTATTTGGGTAAATGTAGTATCTTTTATTTGACCAAGTAAATTGTTGGAAAATTGTCCTCTGCCTTAAGTTTTTAAAGAGTTAAATTCAATTGCAGGTTTGAAGCATACATAAGGGACCCAAATCTAAACAAAAGACCTGAGTAAGGGGTTTTTTCCTTTTCTTTTTTTTTTCTGGAAACAGCACAAAGCTTGAGAGGAAAGATTTGTGTTACTAATTCTTCTGAAAGGATGTTCACGTGGTAGCTATATGGTTGCTTGCATTCACAGTTCAGTGCTTGCTGCAGTCAATCAGGAAACTGGAAACAAAAGGGTTACCCCCTCCCCCAACCAACCAAAAATGAAATGGAGGGTTAGGGGGATTTTTAAGCCATGCTGTAGAAATGAACACAAAGTAAAATATACACGGGGAGGGCAAGCGTTACAGCTAAGGAATAATAATAATAATAAAAAAATCCGAGCAGGCTGCAGTCCCTGAAGCAGAGGTGGGGGAGGAGGGGAATCCAGGCTGCTCAGCACTGAGCCTGCCTTTAGCCCCCTTCTTAAGGCACTGTTTGCTTTTCTCCTTCACTAAACATGAAAATAATCGCCCATGTATATTAACAGCCTCTCTCTGGATTTCCTAGCAAGCTGTTATCATTTGCACTGAAGGGGGGAAGGGGGTGCATTTGAAACACTGAGTGAGATTTTAAATGGTCTCTTTGTAAGAGACTGGGGGGGGGGGAAGGAATGCATTCATCATTGCTTAGAAAAGTGCCTTGAAATGATTCTTTTTTTTTTCTTTAAAAAAGGAAGGAGCCTTCCTCCCATTTGTGCGAGTCTTGTCAGGGCTGCTCCCCTCCTTGCTTGATTTTTCTTTCCGTTTTGCTTTACATCAAATGCTATATGGGCTAATGCTGTAATTGAAATGGGAAACGTGATTTGTATCTTGCTGCAGCAGGAGGCTGCCGGCTGAAGCACTCAGTGGAGGCTGAGGATTGCAATGTAGCGTGTGTGGATCACTGGAGTCTGAGGATTGCGATGTAGTCTGAAGTGTGTGTGTGTGTGTGTCTCCCTCTCACCCCCCCGGCAGCCAAGAGGCGCAGCTAGCCAATCAGAGAGCCCAGTTTCATAAAAGCTGGCCTCTGATTGGGCAGAAGGGAAAGGGCATTGGGAACAAAGAAAAGTCCGTTTCAGGTACAGAGTCTGTGCTGGCTTCACAGTCCCCCCTTCCCCAGCCCTGATTTCTGCTGCTCACTGCTGCAGTAAAGGCAGCTTGGTGTGTAGTGTGTGTGTATGTGTGTAAGGGGATTTTATTTTTTTTTTATTATTATTTGGCTGTTGACAAAGGAAGGTTCATGATCTCTGGTGCTCTTTTTTAATTTTTTTTTTATTTTTATTTTTCCATACATAATAAATCTGTTGAAGAAATTTAGGGGGTTTTTTTCCCCCCCAAAAAATAAAAAAAAAAAGCGCGGCTGCAACAAAAACATACTCAATGCAGTTAGGAGGAAAAGGTCAACTCGATCCAATACAGATCGTAAGTACGGTTGCGTGGTGTGTCTATAGCACTTAGAGGGGATTTATTTTTTCATGCAATGGGGAAGTGTTACGAGTCTTTTTTTTTTGTGCATTAACTAATGAGCGATTTGGGTAAAAAAAAAATGACAAAACCAACAAACAAACAAAAAATCCCACGAGCAGACTGAAGGATATTAGAGAGCACTGGGGCGACACAAATCATACTTGGTGCACTGGGGGGGGGGTAGGGGGGCGTTAAAACAGATCACCTTTGGGTGGGTTTTAAATTAACCAAAAGGGAGAAAGAAACGAGACACAATTCCAGACCAGTCTGCATAGTCTTCCCTAAAAAAAAAAAAAAAAAAAGCAAAGCACCCTATTAAGAGGATCATTTAAAAAAAAATGTTAGAGCTGGAGGATGATTGTCTGCTCTCACATGCTAATGCAATGCTGAGCGAGGGGATAGCGATCCCCATTTCTGAATAGTGGAGGGATCTCCCCCCCCCAACAACTTGAGTTTCTCATTTCTCAGGTTTATTTAAGAAGACATTCAAGCCTGTAGAGTAACCCCCCCCCCATCCGATCCACGACAAATTGCAGATAACTCGAGGAAAGGTTTATAAGGTGTTTCTCTGAAACATATGCTTTGCCATCGCGTTCAGCACATTTCACTCCTTCCCAACTTCAGAAAGAGCCGAGAGAAATGTTTCACATTCATAACTTGTAGCCGTGCCAGCAGCAGAAAAAGGGGGAGGGAGGGGGGAGGGGAAGAGAAATAGACCTTAAGTTGTTTTTTTTTTTTAAAGACCAGATCAGTATTTTCTTGATACGCTTGTCACCCATTTTTGTTCTCACGACAACCAATTGAGCCCTTGATCCTCACGTGATGTGAAAGGCTTGAACTGTAACAAAATCGCTCCTTTTAGGTGGTTGGTTGTTGCTGGCTCGCCCATCCCCCCCTCCTCCCATTTCTAGCAAACCAACTCTGCTTTCCAATCCATCAACAATTCATTACAGCTTTTAGCTTCCAAACGCCAGCTAATTAAAAATACTAAGCTAAGCTCCGAGACCATCTGACTTCAAGGCAAAAAAAAAAAAAAGAGGGAGGGAGGGAATAAATAAATAATCAAAAAAAGATGCAACGTTTGCTGAAAAAATAAGGAGCTAAAAAAAAAAAAAAAGCTGTCCTGAAAGAAGGGTCGTGTATTTTATCTCTTTGGACTCTAATTACTCACCACATGACTGATTAGCCTGAGCTCCAGGATTTTTTTTTTCCTGAACAGCAGTTTGGGACACTCTTATCCACCCCCTCCCTCCCTCCCTTTTTTTTTTTTTTTTTAACATTTACTTAAAAGAAGAAAAAAAAAGGAAGCAAATCATATCCTTGGGAGATTTACCTCATTAGAAAGCACGCTCGCCTTCCTCCACTCCCACCAAATGTTTTGATAACCGGTTTTATCAGATCACTGATTTCCACCCCCCCCCCTCCTCCTCCTCCTCTTCCTCACCCCGCTCCTAGCTTTGCTTTTTTTTCCCTTTCCCCTCCTCCCTCTCTCCCCTTTTCTTTCTCCCTCAACTTAGTTCAAGAAATCAGATCTGTCAGGACGGGCGAAAAAACTGCCACTTCCCGACTAACAGGCGGAATCCAGCCCAGATTTTCAGTCCTTTCTTTCTTCTTTTTTTCCTTCTTCCCTTTCACTAATTTATCCCGATGTTAGCACATTCTGTCTTGCAACCACCGGACGCCTGTAGGTTTGTTCCCTGGGATCATTACTTACTGATCAGGATGGCTCTGAAGCCTGGAGCTGAAGGCGACATGTGAAGTTGGGGGGGAAAAAAAACCCAACCCATTTGAACGATTCCTCTTTGCTCTTTTACACCGGTGCTTGCTCAGGAACACGAGCCTGGTGCTTGATGCTTCTGTTCTGAATGTGAAATATCTCTCTTCCAGCCTGTAAAGTTGTTGAGGAACAGCAATTTTTGTGTTTTTTTTTTTTTAAAGAAAGGAGGAAAAAAAAAAAGCAAAACCAAAAAACACAACAAACAAACAGCAACAACAAAAAAAGGACTCCGTGTGCCAAAGTAGGGGGAGATGTGGTGTTGAACGAGATGTTATTTGGTTTCTGCTGCTTGATCACTTACTCTTTAAGTAAAATGAGGCACAGAATGGTTGCTGAGTCGAGTGGGGACAGCATTTTGATTTGCTGGCTTAATTAAAAAATGATAAAGGATTAAAGGTAAGCGATATGTATCTATGTGTATAACTATTTCAAGTCAACTGTAAAAAAAAAAAAAGGCAAAAAAAAAGGATAGATCCCTTTAAAAAATCGTTTTAACTAAGCTTTGTCAAACACACACTCATTTGCGGTCACTGAGGCCACCTTGGTGCAGATCACTTAAAGTGTATGTCTTAATCAGTTTCCTGTACAGTCAGTAATACTATATTTAACAGACTGAGCAATTGTGTGACCTAAGAGTACATTAGTACTGCGTTTTTAGAAGTGTTAGACTGAGCATTTATTTTTAAAAGAAGACCTCTCTTTTTTTTTTTTTTTATCCTGTGGAGTTAAATATTTTCTACTGAATGTACTTTTTTTCAGCCTAGATTGTTGTGTTGTGTTTTGTTGTTGTTTTTTTAAGGGAAGTTGCATTGTCTCGATGGAAAAAAAAGGTCTTCCTCCTGAAAAAGTAGGTTAAGTAAAACTGGGGTAAAAAGAAAAGTCACCAAACTTCAAGAGGCTGGTTTTAAAGCCACAAATCCATGGAATTGCAGTGAAGGGTGAAGCTGTGTCCTTTTCTCTCTTTTGTGCCTAGGTGGTGGTCCAGGAGGGGGGGGCGGGGGTATATTTCACATGTGCTCCAGCATCTAGGCACCAGCACTAATTCTGTATTTCCTGAGCTTTGTGGATTTAAATCATGTAGTTAAGGTATGTGTGTGTGTCCCCCCCACCCCCCAACCTTTTTTTTCTTTGGATCTGAATTTTTAAGACTAATCGTGGATGTTGGGATACAACTAAATTGCAAGATGCTCCATATAGAAGCATCACAGCCTCCGGTTTAACAAACTTAAAAAAAATAAATACCCTGGAAATATTGAATGATCTTGCTCCCCCTACTTTGCCCCCTCCCTCCCCCCCTGTATTAATCGTATTATATTCTGGTAACACCCAGACAAGAAATATTCGACTTTTCCCCTCCTCACAGGAAAACGGTGGACCTGGACTGCAGGGTATAAACCTGGGGTAGGAAGACCAGAAGAGGTAAATAATAATCAAACAAAAAACACACAAAAAAAAGCCCAACGGAGATAAACGAATGTCCCCTCATCTCCAAAGGAAAGTTCATCGGATTTTTATTCTAGAGATCTCATCTTCAGGATGTCAGTGAACACTTCCACTGCAGGAAAAGGTGTGGATCCAAACGCGGTTGATACTTATGACAGTGGCGATGATTGGGAAATCGGGGTTGGGAATTTAATCATCGATTTGGACGCGGATCTGGAGAAGGACAGACAGAAATTTGAGATGAATAATTCCACCACCACCACCAGCAGCAGCAGCAGCAACGCCAGCTCCAAGGATTGTGGGGGGCTGGCTTCCAGTGGGGCTAATGCTCCCTCAGCCTTAGCCGAGGGCCTAAAATTTGCTTCTGTTCAGCCCCCTGCTCCCCAGGGGAATGCCTCTCACAAAGAGACTAGCAAATCAAAAGTGAAAAGGAGTAAAACTTCTAAGGATGCTAATAAATCTCTGCCTTCTGCTGCCTTGTATGGGATTCCTGAGATCAGCAGTGCTGGCAAGAGGCAGGAAGTCCAAGGGCGCCCTGGAGAGGCAACTGGCATGAATTCAGCACTGGGTCAAAGTGTGAGCAGCAACCCAAACGGCAATAATAACACCACCAGCAACAACAACACTATTGCCTCTTGCGGGAAAAACAAAGAGGAGAAACCAGGTAAAAACCAGGGCAGCAGAGGCTCCAAGCGGGATAAGGATGCGGGGAAATCCAGGAAGGACAAGCAGCATGACTTGCAGCAGGGCCACCCCACCGGCGTGGTGGGGGGCAGCAGCCAAGCTCCCCCCGGGCACCTCTATGGCTTCGGGGCCAAGGGAGGCAGTGGTGGGAGCAGCAGCCCCTTCCACTGCGCCTCCTCCACGGTGGGGGAGGTGAGCAAAAGCTCCCCGGATTCAGGGTTAATGGGAAACTCTATTTTGGTAAAGAAGGAAGAGGAGGAGGAGGAGAGCCACAGGCGAATCAAGAAATTGAAAACAGAAAAGGTAGGACAAGCTCTTCTTGCCCCCCATTCACCCACCCCCACTTCTCTGTGTCTCCCTGTGTCTATTAAAAGCATCCCCCAGCTGTGTGCCTGGCTCTCAGTGTCACTTCTGCCATGTATTTGTGCTGGGTCTCTCTAGAGGAAGGGGGGCTCCCCTGTATCTTTAATTTCTCTCCCCATCCCCAAATGTGGCAAAACTTGTCTGTGCTGTGTTGTGTCTGGTCCCCTCTTCTATTTTAAAGGAGCAAAGGAAATGTTCCAAGCGGTCCTGTTCACAGCTTAACATTGCCTTCCAGCACATGTTGGCAGACTGGAGAGGGGGGTGTGTGTGTGTTGGGGGAGCTTCAGACTTAGATGGAGGGTGTTGGGGGAGCTTCAGACTTAGATGGGTCTAAGGTGTGTGTGTGTTGGGGGGAGCTTCAGACTTGGGTAGGAGCATGCTGGAGAAGCTTCAGGCTTAGCTAGGTCTGGGATTTGCATGTGTGTGTCGGTGGGAGCTTCAATTTAGCTAGGGGTGTGTGTGTGTGTGTTGTTGGGGGGAGCTTCAGACTTAGCTAGGTCTGGGAGTTTTTTGTTTTACGCTGTGTTAGAAGGGGAGGCTTGTGTTCCCAAAGCACAGAGGAAATTCACATCACTTCTCTCCCACTCTTCCTTGATTGTGGGAGGGAGGAGAGATGCATCAGCAGATACTTGGCTTCCACCCCTTTAGCACAGGGGTGTTTACTGTACTGGGGGCTCCCGTGTGTGCACAACAGCCAGAAGTCCCTAAAAAGGCTGGTGTGGAGAATGGATGAGGAGGACTGAGTTAGAAGACCTGCCATGGTCCTAATTTTCTAGGGGGTCTGGGTGGGGGGGAAAGAGGCCGGAGGAGGGGAGCGCACCATATGTGTGTGAAATACATACCAAATATTTTTCTCTCAAAATGTGGAGAACTAATTTGTCTCCTGTCTGGCAGTCTTTTTCATCTGAGGCCTGTGGGTTCTTGGAAGTGAACTTGCTTGTTAAGTGGATGAAATGTAGGAGAGAAATCAAGTGGTGTGTGTGTTCTTTCTTTCTATTAATGTATGAAGGATGCCTTCTGTAAGAATAAATGGCCTTGTATTGTTAAGGAATGGTGGGGGGAGAGCTCGTTTCTCTTGGCTATTTTTACTGCTCATTGAGGCAGGTTCTGGTGTCAGCAACAATACTTCTGTCCAGCGGGCAGAAGGTTTCTTCTCTGGGATCTAGGAGACTATTGTTGGCCTTAATTAAGAGTCAAATGAATTCTACAGGTTGTTCTAAACAGAGACAACCTACCACTGAAAAGCAAAACAAAACAAACTCATACCACTTAAGGTTGTTAGCTTGTGACCTGGTTGTCCAGAATTGTTCTTAAATTAGCTGCATTTACAACTCCTCTGGCTGAATTCTAAGTTACAGGAAAACTTTCTGGCTAGCGTGAAGTGTACTGTTGTTTGCATGTCTCCATAGGCTTGATGTTCGTAGGAATAACACATTATGAGCGGGTTTTTTATTGATTGATTGTATGACATTTAAATAAACTCTTGGGTTACCAACACTTACAGGATTGGTGCAAAAGTCATGTGAGAGGGGTGAATATTAATTTAAGATTTTGTGTATTTTTCACCTTTTAAAATAAGTATGTCTACAGCCTGTAGACTACAGGTGAATTTGAATAAGCTTTCCTAAACACACGGGAAGAACTAGCCTACTTTAATAGGTGTAAGTTTACACTGTGATATATTAAAGTTCTTCTCTTCGCTCTGAAAGGTGTTCTGAAATCCCATGGTCTTTTTATTAACTTAGTACAGTAGGCATTTACTTTTGCTGCCAGTAGTCTTCAAATTGCAGTCCTCTAATCTGCTTTAACTATCTAGATAAATTGCCCTAATCCAGTCTTCACAATGGTTGTGGTTAAAGAGTCAGAGCCATTTGATTGGATTCAGTGGCTGCCTGGAATGTGGGAGGTACTGGCCTTTTGCAACCCCCTTAGCCTTTTAATCTTTCAGCCAAATGTTCACATTCAACAATTTTGTTTAGCTGGCAATCTGAACATTTCAGTATCTCAAAGGCTGCTGTCATGGCAACAGAGATTAGAGTGGTGTGGTTTCTCTAGTTTTTGTGTCCTTTTCACTCACTAGTCACATAGGAAATTGTATGAAGAATGCGTTCACATACATGCAAGTAATCTTAAATCAGTGTAATGTAAATAGGATAACGCGTAATTAAGAACAAACATGTTTTGAAAGTTTGGAGCCAAGGACACTATATTTTTTTAGCTGTTGTCTTTATAGAAGTTTTGGTGCTTGCATTTCCAGAAACTAGTATTGGCACACTGTGACGTTAATATAGGCTTAGCACGTTAAGAGTCCAGCAGTGCTGCCCATTGTCTATCACATTGGTATTTTGGCTTAATGTTTCCTTTAGCGTTTCCCTCCCCAGAGCAGTTTATTTAGAGAGAGCTGCACACTTGGCATTTGAAAATGGAAGAACTCATAACTTTAAATCCAGGCTATGCTATCAATGAAACTTCAGGGTTTTTTTTTTTAAGGATTTGCGAATAAGAGACTGTTTGCAGGGATTTAAGCTTAAATCAGTTTTCCGCATTGGGCTATGCGCACACAAATACTGATACGTTTTGCAAAAAACTTTCTGACAGTAAATTAATATATAATTTTACAGCCTGGGTGTTTACTTGCTAACTCTCTTAATGCTCACGAATGGGTTGTCTTATAAATTTGACTTCAGCCTTATCAGGTGTAAGTTGGTTAAAGTCTAAAATTTAAAACCTGACTTTCTTTGTGTATGTGGTAGTTTGGGACATTTGATGACTTTTGTTTACAGAGTTTAGAGCAGATTCCCAAGAGTTGCAGTCACTGTTTAATTTTCACAGCATGCTTGAATGTCTATTTTTGGTCTATTTATTCTGTTTCCTTGCTGCAGAGAGTCATGTAAAACATGATAAATTGGATCTCATGAAGCCTAATTAAATCAATGACTGTGTTCTGCTGGCTCTTTTATGCAGAAACCGCAAGTATGTTGTAAAAGTCGCCACTCCCCTAATATGTGGATAAAGTCAAAGTATGCTATAATTCTAAGATGTTTGAGCTATATTCGAGCAGCCCATTGTGTGGTTAAGCCTCCAGTGACATGTCTGAATAAATAGCTCTGACAGGTAAACTAACCACTTGGACAATCTTTGGTGTTAAAACCTGTTCCCTTTCTTTAGTCCCTATTCCCACTTCCCTCTTCTTCTTCTTTTCTTTTCCTTTTTGGAAGCAGTTACTCCGTAAATATTTGCCGGCATGAACTCTTCATTTGTGTTAATTTTGACTTTATAATTATTTTAACTGCATTTACATTGAAAAAGGTTTAGATTTCTGCCAGTGATATTATATAGAAGATTTTGTTCAGAATGTAAGGCTGGGGTGGGGGTAGTTCGGGAGCGGAAGGGGAACAGTTTTGCCGTAAAACATGGAATATGAAACCTTCTGTGTAAGGGAGAAAAACAATAGAAGTACAGAAAGTATAAGGCTACAGATATGGCTGTAAAATCTGGTTGCTTTGCATCCTTAAAATGAATCAGTCTGGTAGTCTTCCAGGATGGAATATACCTTTCCTGTATTATTTTATTGCTTTTCATTAAGACTGCATTTCACATCACAAAGTTGTCTTCGGTAAATTAACCCACATGTGACTGGTATCATTAATTTTATTCTTCTCTCCTTGTATCATTTTTTTTAACTTCATTAGGGAATTCTGTGCACAGTTTACCAGTGGGTGTAAATCATTTAAGAACGTGTTTTGATTAATGAGTTTATGGAGATATGTTTTTCACATATTTTATCCCCTGCAAACTCTGCTTCTTGGGTGTAGTTTATTCACTGTGAAATAAAAGGGCAAAAAGGTCACTTGCTGTAATTAAAGGACAAAGTCTATTGTTGTTTGACAGCAAACTGTTTTGAAAGCTACATAAGGGATTTAGCTGTTAAAAACATTGATAACTATGGGTGTCTAACAATAAGCACAGCTCAAGGTTCTTAATGTTCTGTAGCGATGTCTAGTAGTGTGACAGTGCTTTTTGAGCTGGGTGAAGAGGTGTTTGCCCTTTGGCTGGGGAAAGCTTTCTGCATGAACCTACTGACCTCTAAGAATACGTATGACCAGATCTTCTATTGAATTCCTGTGCAAGGCAAAAGTTGCAGGGGCACAACAGAAGTTGATCTAGAACATTTATAAAACAAAATACTGAAGGCGATAAGGTTATTCTAAACTACTGAAAAATATATTTCACTTAGGCCATCAGTAATTTTACAATTTTAATAACTTCATAAATACCCAGTAAAAAGGGAAGGATTGATTGTCCAGATGTCATGGGGTTAAGCATGTTCTTCATGTTAAACTGCTTTGCTGCAAGATTGTTTTAATTAGAGTTATATAAAGACTTATTTTGCCAAAGGAGCATTTTATAGTCCAATAAACGAAATGTATGCTAAAAGTGCTAAGCAAAAATGTCCCGTAACCACAGAGGTGTTCAATAACCAGACTGAAGTAACATAGAAAGTACCATCTGTTCCTAGTTTTCAACATAAAATAGGAATCAAATAGCTTGCTCATATTTTGACTCTTGCTTTTTTATTATTTAAAAAGTTCACCTGGCATTTTATAGAAACTTTCTGAATTGCAATAATATGAGCAAGACTGTGAAAACACATGTTCATACATATATTTAACTAGTTCCATTTTTATTTAAAGACATTTCCAGAAGCTCAGTCATTGAGGAATTTATAATAGTGAATCAACTCCTGGAGGCAAACACAATGAGGGTCAGTTCTTCAAAGATCTTACTATTTAGCTAGGATCTGAATTATTCTGTCAAATTTTCCCCCAGAGGCAAGAGGGAAAAAGACTCTCAAAGCATAACTTTAGTAAGCTCTTATCAGTTATCTAATTGTACATGATAAAACCATTGACTAAAAATTTCCATGCAGAGACTTTTCT